GTAATTTCTTTTATGAATGACGATAGAGTTTATAAGACCTTGTTGAAGGAGCAAGTGAGGTTGAATTGGTTCTGTTAGTTTGGTGCACAGTAAGATTCATTCAGTATGACATTCCGGAAAACTTATCAATTTCTAGTACATTGACAAATGCTTATCTGATTGCATGCATGTATATTTCCAAATCTAAGAACTGTAATCAGGAAATTAGACTTGTGTGTAGATGTGTACAGTATTGTGCAAAAGTAATGCAAACACCTGTCGACGAAATTCGGCGAAATTCCTGGCTTTTCGACGAATTCATGACCGAAACGAAACTTCGACGACATTTCCGCGAATTTTCGAGGCATGTATTGTTTTGAACGGCTCGAACTTTCGGCGACAAATTCCTTGATGGCGTAAATGCGACTCGAAATTTCGAGCGAAAATTCGTTCTATGCGGCGAATTTTCGGGGCGAAAATTCGTTGTATTGTTCATTCTTCTCAAAAAGATTTGGTTGAATTTGTGGTTGGTTACTACACTATGTAATACTCCGATAAAATTTCCCGCTACGATTTCAGTCTCCGCGCGCCCTATATTGTTTGCAACCATGGCAACACAGGTTGTTGTGTCGATGCGTTTGGGATCATTTGGGATGCGTTTGGGATCATTTATGTACTCTACTTTTGATAGTAATCATGGCAAAAGTTTCAAATTATTCTAGAAATAGAATCGAGATCCTTCACAAGCAAGGCCTCCACCCAGCTGAAATACTGAAAGCGTTGAAACACGAAGGGTTGCTAGTGAGCTTTTCCAGTATTACGCGCATTATTAAAAAGTTGCGACTTACCGGTTCCGTGGCAAATTTACCTCGATCAGGAAGACCTCAAAAGCTGTCTACGGAAGCAAAAACTTTCGTAGATCAGCAAATGCGCAGGGATGACGAGACGAACAGCAATACGATAAAGAAGAAGCTGGAGAGACATGGAATCTGCGTGAGTGCGTCCACTGTTCGTAGAGCACGCAAACAGCAAGGTTGGACTTTGCAGCGGACCGCCTACTGCCAGCTAATCCGTGACGCAAATAAAGTCAAGCGATTAGAGTTCTCACAACGCGTCCTAGAAAGTGGTGACACTTTCAACAACGTGATTTTTAGCGATGAGTGTTCGATTTCCCTTTAGGCGTATCGCCGCACTTGCTTTAGAATGGCAAATGAGCCCACAAAGCGAAAGCCGAAACCTAAGCACCCACTCAAAGTGCATGTCTGGGGGATTAGCAGAAGTGGTGCCACGAAGATTTGTATCTTTGATGGCATCATGGACGCTGATTTGTTTTGCAGCATTTTAGAGACGACGCTGGTTCCTTTTATCGTGTCAGAATTTACAAAAAAATAGAGCAATGTGACTAAACTAATTGTTGTTTTCAGTCGTCGCCAATTGGTATTCAGTGTTTTGTTGTGAAGAATAAATATTTCCGAACAAACATGGTGTTGTGATATCTGGAAAGCATGCTGCAATCAGCGATATGGGTGATGTCTATTTGCGCAGGGATCGAAAACGAATAAACGAGGAACATTCTTCCCAATAGAAAACGTTTGAAAACACACTAAAGACATTCTCTGCTCCGTCTGGTTAAAAAGCGTTGTACTTAGGTTAATTTTAAAAACTATTGCAATCATTTGAGAGTTTATTTCCATGAAATACATGTCTCTTGGTCGGAATTGCTATTCATCCCGATTTACTCTCATTGTTGTAAACTGATCGAACTCTGAATTGGATATGATGGTTTAGGCCTCTTCAAACGTCAGGAAACTGAAGTTGATGTGACGCTTGGGACAATTTTTCCGATTTACTTTCGTTGTCAAACACAAATCGAGCCCAGAATCGGGCGTGATGCTTTTCGATATTTTGACCTTTTGTCTACTGTGTTTAGCCTCAAATATGAAGTGTCTCCGTTTATATGTATATTTCGTGTCGCTTACATGGGTAGTAAACAAACTTGATTACTCGCGAAAGTCTATTGTCAGTTCGAAGCGAAATTTCGAACACTAATGATCGAAGAGATACTTTCCGCCGCGAAGTTTCGCTTTGAGGCGAAAATTCAACGAAAAAGCGCCCTTTGTTCAAACGAAATGTCGCTTAAGAGGCCTCGAACTTTCGATCGAATTTTCGCCCGAACTTTCGACGAAAGATCGTCAGAACAAATAACGAAATTCGTCGAATTCCGTTTGCATTACTTTTGCACAATACTGTAGTTCCAGAAAATATTTTTTAGTTTGGCATTGTACACCACTCAGGAAATTCCACTTCAACTTTATACTTTTCTTCTAAGATTTCCCCCACCCCCTTTCCACACCCACACCTCCAAGGAAATTCCACACTGTCTGTGGATAGAGTATCGCTACATGTATTTACTGGAACAACAAAGATGGGAAAGGAAAGGGGGAGAGGGAGAAAAGGGAGGGGAATGTCTGCTATAACAACCCCAGTTTTTATTACCCTAATCCTGTTATGTCTTCTACCAAGATCAGCACTAATCAGAATATTCAAATAGTGAAAAGGATAGGTGCAAGAATGCAATTTGATACTAGTTAATGTGTTACTAATTGTTGGTTTGGGGAATCAGTATTTTGCAGCTGCTAGTGGCTGCTGAAACGAAGAAAAGGGGTTTCTTATAGCAGATGCTTCCTGCCCTCTTTGCCAGTCTCCCTCTTTTTACCCGTCATTATGCCTACTAAGCAGCCTACAGAATCTGTGTAGCACAGTAAGTCTGCAAGACTGAAACAAACTCAACGTCCAAGCCTATTTGTAATTAAATTTGGATAAGATGTGGCATCTGTAACTGATCTAAAATCTGCTGGATTTGGAATGCCAAGATTTGAACCAGTTGCATTTCTGATATGCCAATATGAACATGCTTATAAAACATGGGGGGAGGGGAGGAAGTGCAAACTATTTATTATAAAATAATTTGCATTTCATCAACCATGCCAATCAGACCAAATTGCAGTCATTATCCCATGCTGGTTGTTATAATTGAATGTATATGGGGTGATTAAATATTACTGCAACTACCCATCAAATCCTGCTTTCAGGTAGTCGATAAATTCTGTATATAAAAATCACATTTCTTTTGTTTTGCCTGGTTTTGTCCAGGGTTTTAGATAACACGAGGAATAGTTTACGTGCTTCTTTGTGAAGAACAAAACATTAGCAGAGGATACTTACATATTTACTGAAGACTGAGTAAACCTGGTAACAGTTTGTTTTGCTATGATATCTTTATTTTTGTTTCTCCCATCTGCTTAACTGTAACAAAGGTTTTTCTACAAATATCAATGACAATTTATTATAAATAAATATTGTAATCAATCATAACATGTCTCTCATGACAATAAGTCTAGTAACATCCTCTATTTGTTAACATTAAAATTATCCTGGAAAAATGCTGTATTTTACTAGATGTAATTTCAAAAACAAGAAGAAGAATAAGAGTAGGTGAGGATTTCAAAATTCTTTTATTGGCATTATTTTAATTAAAATTTTTTCAAGCTTTGGGGGTATAATGTTACTGAATTATCATTAGTATTTGAAATGTTGCTATTATGGATATTATACACTTGTGGCACAAACTATGAAAAAATAACCTTGTAAACCTTCTGAATACAGCCAAGTTAATATTTTTTTGTTATCATGCAATCAAACCATGTTCTTCTGCTAATAATTTCTGAAATGCTTTATACCAAAGTATAATTTTTCATCTTAAAGCCTATGGTAATCAATAGCTTAAAACTGGAGCACAACTTATAGCAAACATTTTAATCATCATGACATACTTGAGGCATACTTTATGCTGGCCAGTAAACGATCGCTGTACTACAAATGACTAATGCAATAACTGTAAATACCCATTCAAGCCCGGGTATTGTGGCCCTGTCGCAAATCAACTGAAACTGAAACTGACTTTTACCTAATCATCATTTGGAGAAACTACACTAATTTTCCCAAGTAGCAGTGCTATGCATATCTGTTGTCCTTTTCAACATTTGTTTGGTTGACTAGCAGTCTACTCTGGGTAGGGGGTAGGATAGGGGGCTAACATTTTACACTAAAGGGATACAGTCTGACTAGAAGAATTACTCATCTAAAATTGGAGCCCCTTCTTGTTGGAGGTATGCCCTCAGTTCGTTTTCCTGTGGGTGATTTTCAAGCATCTTATCCCTCTGGGAGGAGGGAAGAAGGTCATCCTTCTTCAAATAATTTGCTTTATAATCTTCAAGGACAAGTTAAGATGATGTTCAGAATTAGCAAGGATTAATGGTAGCGCTTTATAGAAGAACGTAGACTTCTGTACCTTCTTGAAACTACCAAGAGATTCATTGGTCAGTTCTTGAAAACACTGTTCTGTGACTTATGGGCTGGGTCGCAAACTTGAAGAAAAACTATTATAGATTCGTTTTGTATTGCAAAACGGCCCAGGTAGGTGTAACAGCCGTCAATTCGATGTCAATTCCACGTTTTATTCGATCCGATCAACTACGCTCAGCACACCGTTCGAATACAATACCGTACAAGAAATCCTTACTAACAAGCAATTGTCTCTATCCGTAACCTTGAAAACTGCTGAAATATCCGTAATGCTTCCGTAATGTCCTATTCCTTCGATGCGAGACTAGTTAAACGATCCTTATCCGAGAAATAAAGGCGAAAATAACAAGCGATAAAAGCACGTATATGCCGAGGTTTGACCTAGTGTCGAATGACAACACCTCGGCGCAGACTGGGCCTAGTGCACAGGACACCTAGCATTTACAGTAGGCATAGAATTTTCTTCTTTATGTCTTCTTTCGAGACGTCCAGACATATTGCTGAAGCCCCTTGTTTCAACTGCAAACACTGTCATAAAAGAAAACAAAACGGAAAAATTTTGGAGCTCGTAATTAGCAAAATTAAATTTTTTTAAAATTACCTTAAATAGCTGACCTTATATAACCTTCATCAATGCACAAGATGGGAACACATTC